GGGAGCCCACTGTATGGGAGAACATATTTGGCCATGATACATCTGATAAAGGTTTAATTGCACAAGTACATGCAAAAATATGTACAAGGAATATACAAGGAGCTTATACAACTTCACAAAAGGAAGACAAACAATCCTATTAGAAAATGGATAAAGGACCTAAATAGACATTTCTCCAAAGTGGACATACAGATGGACAACAGACATATGAAAAAATGCTCAAAGTCACTGATCATCAGAGATGTAAATGAAATCACCTCACACCTGTCAGAAAGGCTACCATCAACAAATCAACAAATGACAAGTGCTGATGAGGATATGGAAAAAGGGAACCTTAGTACACTGCTGGTCGGAATGCAGACTGGTACAGCCATTATGGAAAACAGTATGGAGTTTCCTCAAAAAATTAAATATGGAACTGCCACTTCATCCAGTGATCCCACTTCTAGGAATATATACTAAGAAACCCGAAACACCAATCGGAAAGAATGTATGCACCCCTGCGTTGATAGCAGCACAATTTACAACAGCTAAGAACTGGAAACAACCCAAGTGCCCATCAGTAGAGTGGATAAAAACGCTGTGGTTCATTTATACCACGGAATATTATGCAGCAGTAAAAGAGAAGAATCTCTTACCCTTTGAGACAGCATGGAGAGACCTGGAGATAGTATGCTAAGCCAGTGGTTCTCAACCTTCTGACCCTTTAAATACAGTTCCTCATGTTGTGACCCAACCATAAAATTATTTTCGTTGCTACTTCATAACTGTAATGTTGCTACTGTTATGAATCGTAATGTAAATATCTGATATGCAGGATGGTCTTAGGCGACCCCTGTGAAAGGGTCGTTCAACTGCCAAAGGGGTCGCAACCCACAGGTTGAGAACCGCTGTGCCAAGGACAATAAGCCAGTCAGAGAAAGACAAGTATCACATGATCTCACTCATATGTGAAATCTAATGAACAAAATAAACTGATGAACAAAACAGATCCAGAGACACAGAAGCATGGAACAGAACGTCAAGTCTCAGAGGGAAGGTAGGGGTGTGTGGGAAGAAATCAATCACAGAAGTTGTATGTGCATATGCATAACCCATGGACACAGATAATAGGGTGGTGAAGGCCAGAGCGGGTGTGGGCTAGAAGGGGTCAATAGCAGAAAAAGGGGACATATGTAATACCTTCAACAATGAAAACTGAAAAAAAATCCACAAAAAAATAATACAACTTAACAAGCAAATAATCCAATTAAAAATGGGCAGAGGACCTGAACACTTTCCCCCAAGAAGACATACAAATGGCCAACACACATATGAAAAGATGCTCAACTTCACTAGTTATAAGGGAAATTCAAATCAAATCCAAAATGAATTACCATCTCATAGCTGTTTGGATGGTTATTATCAGTAAGACAAGAAATAAAAAATGTTGGAGAGGATGTGGAGAAAAAAGAAACCTTCATACATGGCTGGTGGGAATGTATCTATTACAGGAAATAGATATCCAAAAAATTAAGACTAGACATGATTATCTAACTATCATTCTGTATATCTAAAACTAATACAGAATATTGAATGTAAACTATAATTAAGGAATTTTTTCAAAATTTAAAAATAGATCTACCATACTCAGTAATCCCTCTTCTGTGTATCTATCTGAAAAATTTGAAAACATTTATTTATAAAGGTATATGTACCCTTATGTTCATTGTACCATTATTCACGGTGTCCAAAAGATGAAAACATCTAAGTGCCCTTCAATAGATGATTGGATAAAGACGATGTGGTACATATATACAATGAATACTACTCAGCCATAAGAAAGGATGGAATGCTGCCATTTGCTACAACATAGATGAATCTTGAAAATATCACACTAAGCAAAATAAATCAGATGGGAAAAGGTCATATTATTTCATGCATATCTGGAGTTATAAAACAAATCTATAAACAAACAAAACAAACCAGTAAACTCATAAATACAGACAACAGAAAGGTGATTATCAGAGGGGAAGAGGGAGGATGAAGAGAGCAAACGGAGGTCAAGTATATAGTGAACAGAGGAAGAATTGACTTTGGGTGGGGAGCACAAAATGCAATTCACAGATTCTGTATTATAGAATTGTACACTTGAAACTTATATAATGTTATCAACCAATGTCAGCCTAATAAATTTAATAAAAAATTCATGTTCTGGACAAAAAAGGAAAAAAATTCATGTTTAAATACTAAATGAGCTTTCACCTAACAAGTGACAAGAGAACATTCCAAAATATGATGAGAACAGTAATCTGCTGTTATTTTTTAGAAAGTCATCTGTAAGTTATAGAAATATCTTGTTTGCATAAACAAAAAACTAACCTGAAAGGATATACTAGTTTTTGAGTCTATGTCTAACAATGTTACCTTTCATCTTTCAGCCAAATTTCATCCATTTTTTCTTGCCATTTCTCTGGTGGTGCTTCCAACCAAGCATTGAAATACCTAACAATGCCTGGGTGTTCCAGCTTGGCTAAGGCTTTAACTTCTCGCATTACCTTCTCCCGAGCCAATTCCCTTAAAAAAAAATAAAGAGGACATGTTAGTGTTTTGTTTTGTTTTTTGCTACAAGCACATCTATTGCTTCACTTAAAAATAAAAAAAAGCTGTCCTGGCTCAATAAAAATGGATGACTACAGACCTTTAAAGATTATTGCTTAATGTTTTTTAATGAATAAGAGGGTGAATAGGAACAAAGTCAAGTGTTCAGAAAACAGAGCTCAGGAGGATGGAGAACGACCACCCAACAGGGAACATTTTACAATCTGAATAGCTTCTCCTAGTAAGTTTGTTTAAAGCAAGCCTCAACCAATGACTATCACAGGCAATGAAGTTTAACGTAGTTAAAAGCATCTGGATTTGAAGTTTACTGGGACAGCTTTCAGATGGATGTAATCTCATTATTTCTAAGGATCCCGCTCTCACCTGAAACAACCTAAGTACAAGTTATATTCTCTTCCTGCCCTAGGAGATGGTCAGCTACTCCCACTTTTCTCCTGTGCTTGCTGTCCCCTCTTTGAGAATCCTGGTATGCTTCTGAATTCAACTTCTAGGTCCTCACATTCAGCTAGTTATCAAATTCGATTAGCTCCTCCTTTTCAATTCTTTACACTCATTGCTTTCTCATCTGTCCCCACTAATGTTCTGTATCTTAAGACTAAACTTATACAAAAATAAATCTTTCAACTAACATTCTCATCTATGACCTTTTCCTCACATCAACCGTCTATACACCCTCTCCAGTCACCTCCACTTTGAGGACGTCATTCTTCTGTTCAAAGGCACAACTGTCTATGAAATAAAATCTAAACTCCTTTGCTTGACATTTAAGGTGCTGCAAACCATCTTTTCTATCCTCTCTTCCACCCCCACTTCTCACCTTTTGCTCCACCCTTGCCAGAACACTCCTTGGTCCTTTACCACCTGAGTGCCTGCCTACAGCCTTTGCTCAGGCCTCTTCATGTACTTGGCCATCCCTCCCCTACGCATCTGACTACCGAGGGACAGGCTACTCTTTATTTTTAAATATTTTTTTTATTGATTTTAGAGAAGAAGGAAGAGGGAGAGAGAGATAGAAACATCAATGATGAGAGAGAATCATTAATTGTCTACCTTATGCATGCCCCCTACTGGGGATGGAGCCTGATACCCAAGCATGTGCTCTTGACTGGAATTGAACCCAGGACCCTTCAGTCCACAGGCCAATGCTCTATCCACTGAGCAAAACAAACTAGGGCAGAAAGAATACTCTTGAATATTCAGCGCAGATGTCACTACCCCAATAAAGCTTGCCTTCCTTGACTGCCATTCAGCTACATTTTTGCTTTTTCCATGAGAAGATACTTACTTAGCCAAGTTATGGGTCACAATCTTCCTTGCACTGTAATTATCTGAGTACATATACAAAATCCTCAAGTGGTTACAGGTTCTTGAACACAGAAGCCTTTCCTATGTGGTGCCTTGCACATGTAAATATTTAAACTACTCAACAATTATACACCAAAGGAAGGCATTAGTTCCACAGTATCAAACCATCCCATTCCCGTGTCCCTATCTGTTGGATAAACATCCAATTACCAGTTAGGACAGCTCAGTAATTAGAGCACATTTAATCAAGAATCCATGCTAAGTACAATAAGCCAGTCAGAGAAAGATAAGCACCATATGATTTCACTCATATGTGGAATCTAAAGAATAAAATAAGCTAACAAACAAAACAGAAACAGACTCATAGATAGAGAACAGACTAACAACTGTTAGAGGGGAAAGGGGTTTGGGGGCTGGGTGAAAAAGGTGAAGGGACTAAGCAAACAAACAAGAACAACAACAACTCACAGATAGAGACAACAGTATGGTGATTATCAAAGGGAAAGGGGGGTAGGGGAGGTAGAAGACAATAAAGGGGATAAATGGTGACAGAAGGAGACTTGACCTGAGGTAGTGAAAACACAATACAATATATAGATAATGTATTATAGAAATGCACACCTGAAACCTATATAATCCTATTAGCCAATGTCACCCCAATAAAATTAAATAAGAATTTTTTAAAAAAGGAAAAAGAGTCCATAGGAGCCTTCTATAATATGTGGAAAGGAAGGTATTACTGAAAGCTCATCATCTTAAATATCACGCTGTTCTGAGTCAGAAATTTTACTTCTAGGAATCTGTCCCAAAAAAAAGATATGACCAAATCCTATATAATAAAAGCCTAATATGCTAAGTGTCCAGTCATCCATTCAACCAACCAAAGCATAATATGATAATGATGACTAGAGGCCCGGTGCACAAAATTCATGCATGGGGGTGGGAGGGTGTCCCTCAGTCCAGCCTGCACCCTCTCCAATCTGAGATCCCTCTCACAATCTGGGACTGCCAATTTAGGCCCAATTCCAGGGATTGGGCCTAAGCCGACTGTCAGACATTCCTCTCACAATCCGGACTGCCTGCTCCTAACCGCCTGCCTGCCTGCCGGCCTGATCGCCCCTAACTGCCACCCCCCACCAGCCTCATCACCCCTAACCACCACTGCATGCTGGCCTGATCACCCCTAACTGCCCTCCTGCTGTCCAGGTCACCCCCAATTGCCCCTC